TGTCAGTAGGCTAAGAAGATGGAATTGCTCTGTCAACAAAAATGTATATAATTTGAAAGCTAAGTTTTGAGACTTCAACTATACTTAATTTAGAGCTTGCTAGGTGATTGCTCTTGAATTTTTGAGGTTACATGACTGTAAGATGATAGCTATAATGCCCTAGGAAGTGGTAATGAAATTTTTTAAAAAGATAAACTATCTTGATAACATTGCTATGGCAGAAAGAAAATTTATATAGATAGACAAGTAACTATTGAAAGGTCAGAATGGCAAATAAAAGGTCATACTTGCTAAATCTGGGAGATTTTTATTAAAATTCTAAGTAAAGAACAGTTCCTCAGGGCAGAGTTTCTAAAGCTGGCATTAAATCTAAGAGGGAGTAGCCTCCTTTAAAATTGCATGCAACCTCTTCTGTGTGCATCTGGATGGATGTTTCATTTTCGTTAGGTTCTCTGTGGACCGTGTGAACAGAAGAGCCTAGCCTGGAGAGCTCTGTCTCCAGTGGGGTGCAGGACAGCGCGTCTGGCACAGACACTAAGTGAGAAGGCTTCACAGAACAACTCACCCTGTTGAGCTCAGCGTAAAGCGAAGTAGACATACATGGGAAGGACATAGTTTGATTCTGTGAGGGCAGCAATATAAAAAAGGAAGGCAGAGTCCCAGACTGCACTGTGGCAACTGGATGTAGTTAGAAAAGGAAACAAGCCAGATAAGGAAGGAGACGGAGAGAGACCAGGAAAACAGAATAAGCAGGGAGAGTTGTTTTAAAGAGCAATTTAGTGTTAAACATAATCGAGAGGTTACAGAAAATGAGAACTGAGAAAGATGATGGCTTAGCATGAGGAAATTATTGGTAACTTTAAACCAATTTCAAGTGGAATGGGAAACATAGAAACCATATGAAGAGACTGATGGATAAAAAAAGAAAGGAAGGGAGCGTACCCTGAGTCAACCCCACCAACAGAACAGCGACAACCACGACAACCACGTGGTAATCATGATTGAAGTAGTAGCTAACATTTTTTAGTGTTTTTATGTGTCAATTACTATCCCAAGTAACTAACTGGATTTCTTTTAATCTTCACACAAACTCATGCGGTATATTCTTCATTTTTGGAACAGCAAATGGAGGATTTAAGGGTTATATAGTTTTCTAAAGGTTACATAGCAATTCTGACAGACTTTGACCTCAAGCAGGTTAACTTTTTTTTTTTTTTCTTTTTTCTTTTTCTGGCTCAGCCCACCCTGAGGACTGAGCTGGTGCTGCATGTAGTGCTGGGGATCGAACCACGGTCCCTTGCACCTTCCTAACCTTGCCTAAAGCAGGCGATTTAGACCACTGAGCTGTCTCACCGGCCCAGCAGGTTGACTCTTGAAGCTTCGTTTGTAGAATCATCCTATTAAATATAAAAATATTGAATTCAATCAAAAATGTATGATAAAGAAAAAAGAAAAAAATGTATGAAAGATCTATGTGTTCTGCCATGAGTTTTTGTTGTTATATTTGTAAGACCCCGGGGGTCTTTGAAGGGGATATCCTTCCTGCCCATGGCTCTTCACTTTCTCTGCTTCCTGTCAGGGTTTCTTTCACTGTGCACTTCACCCTGGCCTTGAACTCACTTTGTAACCTATACTGGCCTTGAACTTGCAGCAGTCCTCCTGCCTCAGCCTCCTAAGTGCTGGGATTATAGTCATGTGCCACTATGACTAGCTAGAGACATCTAATTGTAAACACTGTTCACATAGTTACTACACAAAGCACAAGTGGTATGAGAGATGGTAGTACCCAGCAGTAGCTTAAATAATTCATACATTGCTCGGTTAAAAAGAATAATTCTCGTCTACCTGAGAAAATACGGCTTTGTTTTCTAGACCAAACACTGTCATGACAGCCAAACAAATGAGTGGGGGGGGGACTCCCTCCCTTTTTTGGGATAGGAGCGTTCTCTCAATAAATATATTCTGCTCATTAAAAAAAAAAAATGAGTGTAAGCCACAACTATAAGACAAATATATTTTGCAGAATATGAACACATTGTCTATCTTTGTGTAATGTTATGATCTGTATTAGTTTATCTAAACATTCTACCTATGCTCTACATAAATGCAATAGAACTAAATATTATAACTCAAGTTTTTAACAAAAGCTCTAATAGTCCTCAAAATTATTTTTTTTAAAGGGGAGAGAGATCAATACACATCTTAAAAGTCTTATTTAGGAAAGTGTGAAGGTTGCTGTGAGTTGAAGGCCAGCCCTGAGCTATGTAACAAGACCTAGGGGGCAGGGAGCTTCAAGATAATTTTCCTCAATAAGGAATGATATGGGTAAATCAGTATTCAGTTACCTTCGTACATTTTCTGCTCTAAGGTATGTAGTTTGTTGGTTTTTAAATTCCATGCATATGGCCCACCCCTTTTTAATTCTTGCTATAGAATTTGCTAACATTTGTGTTAGATTTGATTATAAGCACTGTGGTTGGCTCCTCAATGTCCCCGAAGACCATGTGCTATAATGGGTTGGTTACCAGTGTGTGGGGCTCCTGGGAAACAGTACAACTTCCAGGAAGAGAGACCTGGCTGGAGCAAGCAGGCCCTGGGGTCTTTGAAGGGGACATCCTGCTCATGGCTCTTCACTCTCTCTGCTTCCTATCTGCCATAGACTGAGCATCTTTATCCCACCAGGCCCTCAGCCACGTCTTTCTGCCTCACCACAGACCTAAAGGAGTGGAGCCAGCTGACCATAGACTGAAAGCTAAGAAATTATGAGCTGTAATAAGCCTTTCCTCCTTACTCTTACATTCTCAATTATTTTGTCACAGAGACAAAAAGCTATCACAAAGCATGTTCATACTGAGACATATCATTTAATCTTCCCCAGAACGTCTATGTTATCTGTTACTTTAACTTGGATATTTATAAGGAAGCTGAATATCAGAGCAATTAAGTAACTTAGCTGAATTTGTACACCTAGTAAGTGAATTAGTTGGTCTGAGAACAGAACTGCTGGCTGAATTCTTTCATAATCTCAAGTGCCTTTACTAAAATCTTGCAGAAAAATCTAATCATCCTTCTGCTCCTGTGACATTCTGCCTGTAAAAAGTCCCTCATCACTTCAAGTAGATAGTTTCTTTAGCTTATCCCTTACCATATGCTGCATCAGTGTAATGCTCGTCATATTATTGGAAACATCCGAATGCTTGCACATGTGTTGTGTTTTGAACAAAAAGGGATATCTTTCAGAAAATAACCACCATATTACCTCTCTACTCTGTAACACTTGGCCCTGCAGCAAAAGTTATAGATGCTTAGTACTTAGTTGATGCAGGTCTTGTCGTGGATGGTAGATGAAATTTCCCATAAGCAGTGTTCTAAGACTATGTGGTGTACCATGACAGATGACTAGACTATGACTATCCTAACCTACTCTAGTCTTTAAGTGGAAGTGAACATTTTGTCTATTCTTCTATATTTGCTCCTATAAGAAACTGTGATGGTCATCTTATATTTGCTGTTCAGAGCCTGGGTAGTAGCCACCCATAATTCTGAAAAGAGGAGAAAATGTCACTTAAAAATCTATAAAATGAAAAAAAAAAAATCTATAAAATGTTGGATAAAATTGTCCAAACTGCTATTAGAGACTGTGTTGACTAGCTGTCTGGTGGACAGTGTGCCATGTGTGTGTAAGAGTAAACAGCTCACTGCTGCCCTGGGTAAGCTAGGAGCACCACAAGAAGGGTGGTCCTTGGAACAAGTAGGACCTGTGAGGGGAATGCAGCATGATCTCGGTGAGGAAATACCTTTCAGTGGTTTCTTTCTATTGAAAACACTGAATTAATCAGTTAGTGAGAAAAATTTGTGAGACTTTAGCAACACAGAGAAACCTAACAGATATGGTGCTAACAAGTGCAAGTTAACATGCATGGAAAACCAAGTACCTCAAACTACTGACATAAATAAAAAACCTCAAGAGGGCGAATGGAATATATATTTATTGTTTTTTGAAATGATTAGTCTGAACTGGTATTACTTTAGGAAAGAGAAAAAGAAATATTTTAAACACTCATCAGGAAAAGTACTATCTATAAAACAAAAGCAAGCCAGGCATTGTGGCTCACACTCGTAATCCCAGCACTTGGGAGGCTGAGGCAGGAGGATCATGGCACGTTCAGAGCCAGCCTGGACCACATAGAGAAACCCTGTGTCAAACCAACCCAGCATAACCCAAAACCAAAGAAAGCCAGAAATGGAGCTATGGCATAGATTAATCTAAAATAACATGGGAAGCCAAAGTCATCATATGTGAATATGTAACACAGAACATGAGAAAAATAACATAAATGCCAGAGATTAAGAAAAAGTATATTTAAAGAAGTAATTTTTTTCATTCTTATATGCAGATCTCAGCAAGTATCCCAGAGCAAACTTAGTTTGCTGAGGGAGTTCTGACAGTGAGCAGAAGCCTGTTCAATGAAGTATTCTCATCAGTCCTTCTCCTGATATCATGGTTCTCAAACTGCCCCATGTATACCTTAGAGGGCCTGTTAGCTACAGACTGTCTTATTGGGCTCTATCTTCAGAGGTTCTGATGTAACAGGTGTTACATCGGAGCCCAGGAACCTAACTGGTCTAAGTTATCCAGGCTGGGCTTGAACTTGAAATCCTCCTGCCTCAGCCTCTTGAGTAGCTGTGATTTCAGGCATGTACCTGTATAGCTAGTTTTTTGTTTTGTATTGTTTGCTCCCAGGGCTCAATCTCTGGGTCTTGTGCTTGCCAGGCAGGTGCTTAAGCCACTCAGCTGTATCACCTGCCCCAGTAAGATATGATTGGACTTGTAGTTCTCCCAAGGCAAAAAACTTAGAAAACTGCATATGATTTGAACACTAATTGTTCATTTAAAAAAAAAAAAAAAAACTGATAGAGGCAAAAAAAAAAAATCCAAAGGCTGATACTGGGGTTATTTTATTTTGGTGAATAATCCTAAATTTTCTCTTCTTTTGTAGACTACCTTGCTAACCATGGCCGGTTAAATGAGTCTGAAGCTAGGAGAAAATTCTGGCAGATCCTTTCTGCTGTTGATTATTGTCATGGTCGGAAGGTTGTGCACCGTGACCTCAAGGCTGAAAATCTTCTGCTGGATAACAACATGAATATCAAAATAGCAGGTAACTGGGATGCAACTGACCCTGAAATGATCTAATGTGAGCCTCTGCCCTGGGCATGCAGAGTCAGCCCTGTGAAGATTCAGGAGTGTTTCTTCTTTGTGACATCATGTTTTCTCTAAGTATAACTTATCTGTCTCCTTAGTCTTAGGTGTAATTTACAAGTAGAGAATAAACTCATTATTAAGAACTGTGAGGCTGCAGCTGGGACCTGAGCAGTGTCCAGATCCCTTGGGCTCTTTGGAGAAGGGGCTCCCTGGGTCTCAACTGTGAGAGATATAAGGACTGGGAAGGGGCCCCTTGCTAGTGATCTCATCTCCCTCTCCCCATTGTGACTGATGGCTGCAGTGTGGTTACCAACTGAAAAGACAAATGGGGTGATGGTAGGAGGAAGAGAACCTTGCCTTGCCTTGATCTAATAGTTTTGGTGTATGCTATAAAGATAAAGGGTAGAAATTATTTTGCTTGCTTTTCTCCCATCCTTTTTAACAATGATGAAAATTGTTATATTTTGTCTTCTAAGTTTCTTTACTCCCATAATCAAAACTCTACATTTAGCAAATATTTTATTGGTCAGGTATTGTGCCATGCTAAGTGCAATATGATATGTGGAAATCATTTCATAGTATATATGTGTGTAAAATCATCACTTGTGCATCTTATACATAATTTTTAGTTGCCAGTTACACCTTAATAAAGCTTAAGAAAAGAATATAATTGCCATCTGATATGTGCAAAACTGAGGATGCAGCGCTGTAGAAAACAGTGCGAGACTTGCTATCATCAGGGTCTGTATAGTGCTGGGAATGTGGGCCAGTGGTAAAGCACTAGCTGGCATGAGCCAGGCCCTGGCCTTGATGCCATAGCACCACAGAGAACTGGAGGAGGATATAAACAACAGAAGTGATATAAGTAAAGGAACATTAATTCTACTTGAAGAGTAGGGAGGTGTCACAGAAGAGGATCTATTACGGAGGAGGCTTGCCAGAAGTTAAAGCAGAAGCAGTTAGGTAGATGGAAATTGGAATGGTAGGAACCGTTCTTGTACTGGTTAAATAAACATCAAATCTGTAAGCATGAGGAAGTGGAAGCAGAACAGCAGCTAAGGACCAGAATATGAAGGGTCTCAAATGCCATGTAAAATATTTCACAGTTTATTTTCTAGATAAATGAAATCTAATCTATTCCGGTCTGAAGATGTGTATGTGGGTAAAGTGCAGTTGGGTTAGTGTGAATAACTTCGCACGTTAGCTGTATGTCTGTGGCAGGGCAGCTCAGGTGGCTGGGAGCTGTGAGTAGGACTGGGACAGGAAGATTTTTGTAGAATCCAGTGCTTAGTACAGCAGAGTACATACTGACCTGAACAGAGCAGCCATAGTAGAAGGTGAAGGCGTGGAAGGAAGAGAGGTTTATTTTGGATAAGGTTTAAGGGAGATATGGCACAGATTAAAAGCTTAGCATAGTTACAGATGGTGGTGTTTTGTTCTAGTATTGAGAAGAGCAGACATCCAGATGAGAGGAGCTGGCCAAGAAATTAATGGTTCACTAGGTAGATTAGATACTTGCAGGACTCAATAAGTTTAAGAAGAAAGCAGCCTGCCCTGGTGTGCTGCATTGTGGTATAAAATGTAAGTGAAAACCTTTGATTTGTGCATTGAACTGAGTGTTCCTGTGCCCTTTCCCATTAGTTTTTGTTTTGGGTATTTGGGGATAGATAATTTTTATTCTCTTTATTTTAAGTGCCAGTTATATATATTTTAGGGCACATAGTGGGTTTTCCATCTTTAGAATTTTTTTTCTTTTTCCAAATGAGATTACTTGAATAATAAAAACCAAATACTTTAGTTTATATAAAAAAGGAGACACATAAAAATTTTATTGGTTTGTCACCTTTTGTTGTGAAAATACAACACAGTAATAGAATATTCCCATAGTTTTGTGGAGTTTTTTAAAGGTGCTTTAGTGCCTATTTGCAGCACATGGTCATTGCATTTCTTTTGTGGAGTCAGTGCATGGCCGGCGCACGTCTCAGCGGTTTTTCATTCCTCCTTTCCACCACTGTTTCTTTTGTCTTTTTTCTTGCCAGTATCAGGGTTTATTTATTTTGTAAGTCTTTATCAAACTAATTATCATAAATACAGATTAACAGCCATACTTAACAGGCCCAGAATCAAAAAACAATTATACTAAATCAGAGTATACTTTTAGATACATTGGCCATGTGACACTACAATGACTTTTTTTTTATTGTCTGTCTCCTATTTTGTGCTGTTTGTTTGTTTGTTTATGTATTTAGTACAGGGTCTCACTACACAAATCAGACTTGCAGTGATCCTTCCTGTTTTTCAGCCTCTCAATGCTGGGATTACAGGCCTGCATCACCATGCCCAATCTCATTCGCTGTCTCAGCAGGCCCCAGGGTTGGGGCCAGCTCGGAGGCCAGGGTTGAACCCCCAGCCCTTGTGTCTGCCTAATGAGGTGCTTTAATCCACTGAGCTATCTGGCAGGCCCCTTGTTTTGTTTTTGAGACAGGATCTTGCCATCTAGTCCATGGCTGGCCTCAAACTTACTGTGTAGCCCACCCAGGCTGACCTCAGACTCTGTAGTCCTTCTACCTCAGCCTCCCGAGTGCTGGGATTACAGTCATGCACCACCACACTGCTCTGTATGTTGGATTTCTCACATAAGAGAAACCATACAATATTTAACTTTATGTGTCTGATTTACTTCACTTAACATTATGGTCCCAAGGTGCACCCATGTTCCTACAGGTGTCTGAAGTTCATCTTTTTTATGTCAGAGTAGTGCTCCATTGCGTATAAATACCACATTACCTTTAGCCATTTATCTGCTGATGAACATCCAGGCTGCTTCAAAGGTCTGCTTGTTTTTGCATCCTTTGTTCTATTCCATTGATCCATAGTCTGGTTTGAATTTTTGTTTCTGTTCTGTTCTGTTCTGCTCTATTCTGGTCTGCGCTGCTCTGTGCTGCTCTGTTCTGCCGGTACCATGATGTTTTTTTCACTGTAGCTTTGTAGTATAACTTGAAGTCTAGGATTGTGGTACTCCTGGCCCTGCCCTTGTTGCCCAGAATTGCTTTTGCTATTTGAGGTCTCTTCTAGTTTCATATGGACTTTGAGGTTGCTTTCTTTCATTCTATGAAGATTACTACTGGAATTTTAATTGAGGTTATATTAAATTTATGTAACCGTTTTGGAAGTATGGCCATTTTTTACTGTGTTGGTTCTGCCTATCTAGTAACAGGGTATATCTTTTCATTTTCTGATGTCTTCTTTTATCTCCTTTTTCAGGGTACTGTAGTTTTCCTTGTAGAGGTCTTTTACTTCTTTGGTTAGGTTAATTCCTAAGTGTTTCATTTGTCATGATGCTATCAAGAAAAGTATTGCTTCCCTGGGTTTGGGGTTTTTTTTTGTTTTTGTTTTTTGGTTTTTTGGCAGAACCAGGGATTGAACTCAGGCCCTTGAGCTTGCCAGGAAAGCACTTATTCCACTGAGCCATCTCCCTAGCCCCCCTGGGTTTATTATTGATGTACAGGAGCACTATTGATTTTTCAGTGTTGATTTTATATCCTGTCACACTACTGAATTTGGTTATTAATTCTAGGAGTCTTTTGGTAGTGGTTTTTTTTTGGGAGGAGCATGGGGAGTACCAGAAATTGAACTCAGGACCTTGTGCTTGCCAGGCAGGCACTTATGCCACTGAGCTATCTTTCTGGCCCCAGGTGAATATTTTAAGGTCTTCTGTGTAAAGTATCATATCATCTGAAAATAATGATAATTTAACTTCTTTCCTGTCTGTGTCCCTTTTCTTTCTCTTGCCTGATCTGGTTAATGTTTCAAGAACTGTATTGGACAGAAATGGTGATAGTGGACATTCCTGTCTTGTTCCTGACTTTAGAGGGAATGCTTTCCGCTTTTCTCCATTTAATGTAATGTTGGCCATTGGTTTGTCATGGGTCAGTTTTATCAGATTAAGACCTTCTATACCAATTTTCTTCGAGGTTTTTTTTTTATCACAAATAGATATTGGATTTTGTCAAATGCTTTTTTATTTTTTGATGAAACTGGGGATTGAACTCAGGCACTTGCCAGGGAAGCACTTATTCTACTGAGCCATCTCCCCAGCCCCTCAAATGCTTTTTCTGCATCTATTGAAATGTTTTTTTTTTTCCTTTCTTCTGTCATGTAGCATATTATATTTATTGATTGGCATATGTTGAAGCACCCTGCTGTCTCAGTGACTTTTTTCTTGTTGCTGGGACAAAATACTGAATGCCCAAAATTAAGGGAAAAAAAGGTTTATTAAGCTCACAGTTTGTGGAAGTTTCAGTCCGTACTCAGCTGGCTCCAAGACAGAGAAGCACATGGCAGAGGACAGCAGTTCATGATGACAGAAAACAGCAAAAAAGCAAGAGCAAAATGGGAGGATCAGCAACAGTGATGCCAAAGGCAGGTCTCTCTCCCTTCCTAGCATTCAGGCTTCTGCCCCAGGGTGGGTGTAGCACTCACAACCATAATCCTAGCAGCACTCACACCCATAATTCCAGCATTGGATCATGCATTAATCACAACCTCTAGAAGCCCAACCCAGTGACTACATGAGGCTTTGGGGGGACACCTAGATACAAACCATGATACTACACCCCTGGAATGAGTCTTACTTGATTGTGATATATAGTCTTTTTAATGATTAATAGGTTTATTAATCAGTCTTCATAAGAGATTGACCTGTAGTTCTCTTTTTTGATTGGGTCCTTTTTTGGTTTTAGAATTAGGGTAATGTTTCCAGGAATGATTTGGGGAGTACTGCTTTCTTTTTACTTTCATTGAAGAGTTTGAGGAGTATTGTATTACATCTTCTCAAAGTTCTTGTAGAATCTGACAGTGAATCTCTCAGGACCTGGGCTTTTCTTAGTATCAACTAAGTTTTTTATTACTTCAGTTTTATTGACTGATGCTGGATTATTCAGGATTTTTATATGT